GGGGGGGGGGGGACAAAAAGGGAAAAGCAGGACTAAGGCGTATGATCGAGACTTACTACCTGTCTTTCTTGCTAGATGCTGGGGACATGACCCACAGGTTTTATTTCTGTATTGCCAGCATCTGGCACAGCACTGGACCAGAGTGGATGCACAGTCCACTTGAATACTTGAAAAACAAGTATATTCAAGTGTAGTTACAGTTGCATTGCTGAGATCCCACCTGCACCTGTTAGCCTGGGCTCCAGCTGTGTAGTGTCGCAGAGTTTGGGACCACGAGTGCTGTGTGAGCTTCTGGAAGGTGAAGAGCTAATGCCCAGATTGTGGCAGGAAAGTCTGATTGGGCTTGAAAGCAAAGTTTTATTTTGATGATGATGCTTGGCCATGGATCTTCTATCAGATTTAACAAATGTTTACCATTTTTGTAAGTACTGCATTTTGAAAAATTTCAAACATACAAAAAAATTGGAAGACTCATCAGTGGGAATCCCTGTATCCGTGAATTAGATTCAACAATTATTAATAGTTTGCAGTAGCTTCTTTCTTTCCCTGCGTCCCTGCTTTCTTCTCTCTCTGTTCAGTGCACATATACATGTGTATGAGTGTGTGGATATTGTATGTATACGTATACACACCTTCCAAGTGAACCTCGTGTCAGTTCCTCTGCCCACCTTTACACCTGTCCCGTGTGCAGGACTCACACAGCCTCGTGACCAGTCTCCTTCCAGATCCCTTTCCTCGTCTCGCTGTGGCCCCCCATCTCCAGTCCACGGCAGGGTGCCGGGATTCTTAATCATTTCTCCACGCCTTCGTCCCTAACCATGGATTAAAGTCAAAATGGGACCTGTATGCTCTGTCCTGGGCCGCGTGGAGCTTGCCTGTTAGAGAAGTTTCCCACAGGTGCTCGGAAGCTGAACAGTGTTGTTTAAGTTCGTGAAGGCACATGCAAAACAGACTCTAGGCCAGAGAAGAGATGATCTCTTTAAGCCTGTCCTGTGGCTCATCAACATGCCAGAGCCGTCTGCAGAACCAAGTCTCTGTGGGGAGACTTCAGTGCGGTTGCGATGCACCTGGACTTCCCAGGTATCTAGGTCTTCAAGTCGTTTCCTTTTCAGGAAAAGCATGCTGCTGCTCCCTTCCCCAGTCTTTACCTGTTTGAAACTGTTTTTTCTGTTGTTTCAGATGAATAAAAACTTGGTTAGTTAAAAAATATCTGAACCATTTTCATAGCTTTTATTTGTCCCACTTTATGTGAATATTCATGTTTTGCTGAAAAATACAAATGTTTGTTTGCACAGTGATGCGCAGACTGTGCTGGGGTGTTAGGAATATGTAACTTCTATACCTTTGAAAAAATCTAAAAACTCTGAATTAGAAAATGCATATGTCACCAAGGGTTTTAATTAGCACACTTGGTCTTTTTAAAATAGAGGAGACTTGTTCGGCCACATTGGTTTCTGTTTTCTTCGGGTTGTTAGTTTCCTTCCCAGGAACCCGGCTGGTTCCTCTTCTCTGGGTCCCTCACCCGCCTGAAAGAATTCTTATCTTTCCTGCCTGTCTCTGAATTTTGCTTCTCAGGTGTCTGCCAAAATCCTCGCTTTGTTTCCTCTGGAGTGTTAAGCTTGCTCAGTCCCTTTAAAAGCTGGGTTTCCCTGTCGTGTTTCATTGTCTCCACAGACCCCGTTTTGTCCCAGCCTCTCCTCTGTTCTGGCTGTTCATCGGCGTGTGTCCTGGTGGATTTTCACCCTGTTTCATACCTTCTTGCATCCTGTGGACAGTTGAGGAAGCGTATATATTTAACTAGTGGCTTGCTATTCCTGTTTTACTTACATTTTAAAAAATTAGGCAGTAGTGCTATATTTTATCAAATAAAGGGAGATTAAAATGTTTTAGTGTTCTTTAATGTATTGATAAGTCAGTAGACATCATGAAATTGAGGAATCTTTAAATTCATAGGCTAAACCCTATCTGGCCATAGTTAATTATTCTTTTGAAATCTTACTAGATTCTGTTCATATTTTATTTAGAATTATTACATATACTTATTGGTGAAATTAATCTTTATTTATTGATACTGAAATTTGAATTTCATATAATTTTCATGTGTCATGACATTTTTTTGGTCTTTTTCAACCATTTAAAAATGTAAAAACTACTCTCAGCTCACAGGCTTTTCAAAAGCAGGGAGTAGAGGTCGCTTGCTGACTTCTGGGGAACACTAACCTGCATTAAATCTTGGTTCTTTGATGGTTTATTGGATCTCCCTTGTCAGACCATTGAGTCCTAGGGTCTTTAAATACCAGATCTTCAATATTCTTTGCAACCTCTTTTAAATAAACTGATCTCAACAAATTTTCTGCTTAGTTGGGGACATTCTATCGATGAGCCTTAATTTGTTAGGAAGCCACCTACTTTCTGTGGGATGCTCAGTGACGTTTGCTTTGTATTTTTATTGTATTATTTTTGCCAAGGTCGTCCACACAGTGCTATCTTTATAATCTTACAGATTTAATGTCTTTTGCATTTTATATATCATTCTCTCTGTTTTTGCTTTCTTTCTATATTATTTTCTAGCCTGGTTTGTGAGAGGTTTTTCTTTTTTTAATCTTCTTAAGGTATCAAATTTGGGGCTTTAAAAATCTTTTCCAATATCTTACTTGACGTCTAGCTTGGTAAATCCTCTTTTTAACTTCATTAATCCCCCTTTTACATTGCTTTTCTTTTAGTCTTATATCCAGGAGTCGTTCCTACAGTTAGTCACTGTTTTGGTCAGTGGGGCGTGGAAGCCCCTCATGCCTCTGCACCGGACGCCTCTGTCGTTGACGGGGCAGGTGCTCCACCTCACGTCACTGTCTAGATGGGAACGACCTTAGTTCTTGCCGTCTCACTCAGGTCGCCTGATAGGTGACGAGAGTGTCTTTCTCTAAGTGTTGAGTGAAGGGGGCTGGCACCAGTGGCTGCCCACTGCATGGCCCCTTTATAGACAGCGCACAGGTGATCTTTGCTGTTCAGAGGCAGGCGGTGGGCCCACCGCAGGACGGGCCGGAGGGGAGCTTGGGAGGCCTGAGGCACTGGGACGTCCCCTCCTGGCTCCGAGGGCTCACATAGTGTGTTCGTTTTGTGAAAACTGTTCAGCTCTTCACGTAAGAATTTTGCCCTTCTGTCTCCTCAGGTCATACCTTCATAGTAAGCTTAAAATCAAAACGCCTAACAGAGGAAGTAATGAAATAAACGTGCAATTTTAAAGAACTTAGCCGCCTTAGAAACATTGACCAGCGCTGTTCACGAACCAGTCTGCTCGGCGTGCTGTGCGCCTGCAGGGACTGAGCGGCTTCCTTGGCTGCCTCAGCAGTTGGTTTAGACCTGGGTCCGTCCCTGAACAGGACAGGTGCAAACACTCCAGTGTGTGTTTTGCTCAACTCAGTACAATAACAAATTCATTCTTTAAGACAGTAACTGAATGGATACATTGAATAGGTAGTCCAGGGACCTATGCATATTATTTAACCTTATAGTACAAGGTAACAACAACTTGCAGTGCCCTCCACCAGTCTTGATTCTGTTTATTGTTGTCACATTTTTAATTGTGCACCTTCTTAACCCCATTTGGAAAGAGATGCTGGGAGTGATGCCTTTGCATCTGCTTCTTTACAGGCCATTATGCATCACGAAGGCCACATGGATGACGGCATAAACTTATCCAGATCGCAGCACGAGGAGTCCCGGACGGCGGGGGTCATCCGCAGCACAGTCTTCCTTTTCAATAGATTTATAAGGTGCATTTTCGTTTGCTGTGGTGGCTGTTTGACATCTTACCTGATTGGATTTACAAAGAAATAATTCTAAAGTATGCTAGGGTGGTAGATATCATGCAGTTTGGAAGGTCAGCAGACACATTCGAAGAAGGTGCCGGTTAGATGGTTGTATGCTTTCTTTTAAATGAACTTTAAAAAAGAAATGTGCTTTTGGAAATTGTGTGTGTCACTTTATCAGTAGCTGTAGGGCAGGATTATTCTACAACATAACATACCCTATGCTGGACCTACTTAATTCCCTTTTACACTTCCCTTATAATTATTGAACTGTATTAAAAAATAAAGTGAACTTGTAATGACTGAGTTTACCCACCTAATAATGGAAAATTGCATATCCAAAAACTAAATCAAGCTTGTGGACAGTGTTTCTGGGAACATTATACCAACATAGACTCCGGCCTGTGGTGAGTATCATACGTCTCTTTAAACTGTGCCAGTTTGATGGGAAAAGTGTTTGTGTATGTGTGTTTGTGTGCACAGATACATATTTATATCTATAACTGTTTTTAAAGTATGCATGTATTTGAGAATTGTGGAAATGGGTATATGTCATATTTGCTGACCAGATTTCTTCATTTATTTTTTCTTTTGTGACTTACCCTATTATTTGTTAATATTTTATTAGGCTACTATGACCTTGTGTTAGAGATTTTAATTTCCTGTCATCATATATAAACTGCAAATATTTTCCTAATTTATTGGTTTGAAAAAGAATATTATAAAGTTTTTAAAATAGTTTTTAAACAATTTTTAAAAGTATTTTTTATATTCAATAAATCAAGTTTTGGTTATAGGCCCTAAAACTCAGCCTAGTGAGCAGTTTTGGATTCTTAGATGGCATTTGTCTGGTAAGGGGCTTTTCCCAGAAAGTGATGGGTGGTTCTGTTTCCAATCACAGGTGTGATCCGCTTCTTGGCCTAGAGCTGACACTTACTGCGGCTCCTCCTTAGGTTGCAAACATAGATACTGTGTCAGAGTCTTGTGAGTTCATTCCAGTTAGTGTGATGAGAGTGAGTTTGACTATGTTATAAATAAATAGATTTATGATTCCAATATATCTACGAGTTAATGGGATAAAATGTATAGAAGAGAAATATTTTCATTGTATGTGCATTTTCATTTTAAAAGGGGAGAGAGAATTTCTTCTGCAAAGTCATTTCTGTTGCTTTTGGGGCATTAGAAAAACTTAAAGACACAATAACTCTGGGTAAGAAGAATTCCATTGATATAAGCGATTTGGAATTTCAGGCAAAATCTTTAGAATAATCATGCAGTTTTGCTGTTTCTACTATTTATGAGGCTGAAGTCAAATATTCTAAAATTATTAGTAACATTTTGTAAAGGATACATTTTAAATAATTTTTAGTATAATAAAGTTTGAAAATAAGCTAATTCTCATTTATAAGGCTTTTATTGTTTTTTAAAATGTAATTTTTAATAGTCAGATAATTAGCTAGAGATATTTCCTTGGAATAAAATATTGTCATATATTTTTGTTGATGAAGAGAGCAGGAAAGGAAGTACAAATATAAATATTACTATATCAACTATAATATAGACATTCTCTCATTCTTTTTGGTGTCTGTTGAGTATTTTTAAATAAACTTTTTATTTTGAAATAATTTTGATTTACAAACACCACATGAGTAAAGTTCTTTACAGAAACATTCAAAGCTCTCAGTTTTAAAACTCAGAATCTCAGAAAGCTCAACAAATCACATTTACATGCCAGTAATACATTTTTCTTCAAAGGCTAGAAAAGCAACATGATGTCATTTCTTAATTTAATTTTAAATACATTTATTTCAGGTAATAGGAAAGCATTTGGTATATTGTTTCCTGATTAGTAAGTGAATTTCATGAGTTCTCATCATTAGAATGTATTTTTAAACAGGCAGAAGTTAAACAGAATGGCAGAGAGTGTCGGTGATCGCATGGCAATAGCAGTTCCTTCTCCCAGAACCAAACAAAAGAGAACAGAAATGTCATGTGGGGAGCTGCACCTTAAACCTTAGACTGTGTAGCGCTTTATAGTGAAAATCGGTTGGTCTCTAAATTTTTTTTTTTTTAAAATATATCTTTTATTGATTTCAGAGAAAGGAAAGGAGAGGGAGAGAGAGAGAAACATCAGTGATGAGAGAGTCATTGATCGAGCCCACAACCCGGGCATGTGCCCTGACTGGGAATTGAACCCCGATTGCCTGGATCCTAGGTTGATGCTCAACCGCTGAGCCACGCCCAGCTAGGCGGTCTCTAAATGTTTATACTATTGGTTTTTAAGGCATTGGTCCTCTATGCCCTTCAGGTTTTTCTCTTGATGAATTTCTCGATGTGGTGTTTTTAATATAACATTATGTACACAGGAAAGAACATACAGGTCCTCATTTGAGTATGTTACTTATTGCTTGTGGAAGTCTAGAATCTTTCTTACATGCTCCTTTTGCAGCGGTGTCCAGAGGGAGAGTAAAGCTATAATCATCTGTAAACTAAAATCCTGCATAAAATTGTGTCAACAATTAGAGACATGGTTGCTGTTTGTTTTAGGGGCTTGGACGCTCTGGGCAGGAAAGCGAAGGCGCCCCCAGTGGACCTGCCCATCGAGTCGGTCAGCCTGAGCCTGCAGGACCTGATAGGCTACCTGCACCCGCCGGCCGAGCACCTGGAGCACGAGGACAAGCAGAACCGGCTGCGGGCCCTGAAGAGCCGGCAGAACCTCTTCCAGGAGGAGGTGAGCTGCCAGCCCCTTTCTTCTCTACTGTCTTCCTGGGAAAAGCTGTCCTGGGGGAACTCTGACATCATGTGCTTTGGGTCAGAGCAGCGGGCTACTATTCTGTGTTACCGCTTGTCCTTTGGATGAATGGTCTCAGTTTCCTTAACGATTGACACTCACTTTGAGCAGGCTTTTCGGTTTCAAAACAACCCCGCACTCCATGTGAGCAGGCCCACCGTTTCTGACGTTTCTGATGTGTTTGTCCCCGCAGGGGATGATCAGCCTGGTGCTCCAGTGTGTGGACCGGCTGCACGTGTACAGCAGTGCTGCCCACTTTGCGGATGTGGCTGGTAGAGAGGCCGGGGAGTCCTGGAAGTCGATCCTGAATTCTCTGTACGAGCTGCTGGGTAAGGATGGCTGAGTTTCCAAGGCAACCACTCGCGTCTATTTTAAATGACCACAGAGCCCCCATGACTCTCCCCACCCCCAGCCTGGGGTCTCCCCAGCCTCCTCCCTCCTTTCTGGGATCCGCCTTGAAGCTCCAGGGATGCCTGACTAACTAAGGGACACAGGCGTGGTTTACACTGCGTCCCTGTTGGCTCTGTGCAAACACAGGGCTGCATCACCTTTGGTCCAGAGGGTTTCTGCAGCCTCTGCCATCTCCTGTCGAGAACCACGAAAGATCTGAGATTTCACCCTTTAGTGAGCCAGTGAATTAGCCTGAAATTAGGATAAAGGGGGCAGTTTACTTCTCACAGCAATGAGAGGAGCTAGGACATCAACATTTTTCGTGTCAGGTCCTTGGGCCCCTGTTCTTGCAGGACAGTGTGAGGAGGACAGGTGACCACTGCCTACGCTGTCAGGACCCCAGTGTCCTGAACAAACTAGATGCTCAGGGAACGAGGTGCCTCATGGCCGTGTGTCTGAGGGTAGGATGGTTACGCACTGAGTGAACGTTGTGGGTATGTATACGTAACACACATTTATTTATATTCCATATCAGCTCTTTTCATATGTGGTTTGATTGTTAATTGGAACATGTCCAGAATAGGATTTCTAAGTGATTTACCTCTTCAAAGGGCGAGAGAGAAGCTGTGGTGGGAGGTGCAATGACTGATCTCCTACGATGCCTGGGCTCAGACTGCCTCCAACCACAGAGGGCAGCGGCGCACTCGCAAGAAGGAAGGGGGCCTGCCGTGGGTGGGAGGCAGGGCCCACCGCAGCATCCGGGTCAGCTTCTGTCTGCCCCGCCCTCAGAGGGCCGCTGCTTCCAGCGCTGGCTCCCTGGACAGCCTGGGTCGCCGCGGTCAGCTCTCGGCACCCGAGGTGTCCTCTGGGACATGGAGAAGTGACAGGGCTGCCCCTGGAAATCCTCCCGACAAGGAGCATGCCGCTCCATCTCATCAGCCTGGACCGCGGGGCCCCTGACCGCTCGTTCTGGCAGGAGGCCGGGAATTTCACAGCCCGGCTATGACTGGTCCTGGCTTTGACCCACTCGGGAATGGGGCCCACAGCCGGGACTGCCTGGCTGCCAGACAGAGGTGCGAGTTAGAGAAGGCGGCAACAGGGCAGGTTCCACTTCACGTTCACTCGTACAATAAACACATGCACTGTAGAGGCTCCCACTGAGGGGACCTCGAGCCCTTCACCTCACCACTTGGGCCTGTTCCTTCTCCACAGTTACGTCCTGTTCTTGAAAAACAAGTTTCACCCTCAGTTCCCAGGCAGCAGCCTCTGAGGAAGTGACCCTGCTCCTTGCCGGTCACAGTTCCCCTTAGACAGGTGGTTAGATTTGTGCTATTTTGTCTGCAAGTCGGAGGAAATGCCAGTGCTCAGTAAATACCTGAGAGACAGCACTGAGCCCTTGCTGGTGGGCGGGCTCTGTTGGATTTCTGGCTGGTCTGTGTCCTGTCCACTGACCTTCATTTCAGGCACTGGGGCCCGCACTCCCTCCCTCACGAGTTTTCATGAGCTCCAATATTGGGCACATGCCCTTCTTGTTCCTGTGTTTTAGACGCCACAGCCCGTGCCGGCCTGTCCCTTCCTTTTCACCTGTGACCTGGCTCACTACCTCCCGGCCTCAGTGTCGCCTCCTCCAGTCCCTTCCTCCCGTCCAGTACTGCCCTGCTTCCAGGCACCTAGACGCACATCTGTATGGCTTATGTTAAAATACACATGCATACAAAGTAATTTCTTAACTATATGAGCCTATTTTCTTGATTATTTATATCCCATTTGGTTAAGAGAGGACTTGAGGAGCTATTACTTCAAATCAACATAATTAGAATCCTTAAAACACATATTTAAGGAGGGTAACAGCATTTCATAAAACAGTTTTAAACAGTTTTAAACTGTTTTATGAAATAAGAGACATACTTCACACACTCACCCACGCACACACACACACCCACACTCACTGTTAACATTTATATTCTCACACTGCTCCTCCCGAGAGGGATGTTAACCCCCCACATATATATCATACGCTTCTCTTCGGGAGGTTTCCTTCCCTCTTGTCTGATTTTCCCGAGTGTCCTGCCTCTTCATTCGCTGCTTGGCCTCCTAAGGAGCGTCCACGTCACGGAGACTGGGTTGGGTTGGGAGGACATGGGCTTGGAGGCCAGTGAGTCCGGGTTTGAAAGGAGCTTCGTCTGATCCAGTCCTCAGAGAGGGATTGGATGCCCGCTGTGGGAGGTGCCCGGGTCTGGGCAGGAGGGGCCGCAGTGACCGGGACACAGCCCTGCTCTCACAGCTGCGGTTGAGTGAGAGAGAGACGTCATGAAACAGCCTGCCGGGGTGTCCGCACGCACTCACTGTACTGCCTCGCCGTCTCCATACAGGCTATTGTGAAGTCACAGTACTAAGGGATTAATAAAAGTGATAAATTTGACCACAGAAAGTGAACAGTTATGGTCCTATCATTACAAAATAAAAAAGATAGGAATTTGGTAAAATATGCAATCTATATGAAAGACAAAGGCCCAGGTTTTGTAATATATAGAGTTTTTCTAAATCCATAAGAAAAGGAAATATCTAATAGAAAAATGGACAACACATGGAGACAAGTAGTTCACAGAACAATAAATAAAATAATAAAAGATTCTCAACATGATAAAGAAATGCAAATTAAAATAATAAATAAGGATCCTAGTTTACCTATTGTATTGGCACAGATAAAAAGTTGCTAATACTCCATCACTGAGGAAAATGTTGGGTAATATGCTCTTGGTGGGAGTGTGAATTGTTGATATTAAAAATGGAACAATTCTCTGTTGATGTTATGCATGAACCTTTAAATGCATATATCCTTTTACTCTGAGAAATGCCACTTTAAGGAATATATTCTAGAGATGTATTTGTACAAGTGAGATGTTCACTGCAGAATTGTTTATAAGTAACAAAATTGGAAACCATTTCTCTATCAGGGGATCGGTTGCATAAGTAATAGTCCATCTGTNAGATGTTCACTGCAGAATTGTTTATAAGTAACAAAATTGAAAACCATTTCTCTATCAGGGGATCGGTTGCATAAGTAATAGTCCATCTGTGTGGTGTAATACGGGGTTATCACTGAAAATTGCGATAAAAGGTATCATTTGGAAAATTGTATGAAATAGGCTAGATTGCTGATTTTTTAGAATGACAATCTAGGATTTGTTATTCAGTGAAAAAAGGCAAGCTGCTCACTGTATGCCTGGTAAGAATCCAATTGCATACAACTAAAGATGTAGAGAAAGGTACATTCTTGTATATTCATTGGGAATTTCTGGAAGATGCACAGAAAACTTCTAGGTGGCTGCTTCTTGGGGAGGGAGGTCTGCTTTCTGTGCCATCTTAATCTATTTACATGTACTACGTCTATCCTTGAGAAAAGTCGTTAACATAAATGTGCAGTGATACAGTTGATGAAAGGAAGAGCTAGTGTGTTCATTTCAGCTCAGTGAAAATCTAGACTATGTCTACTCCGTGCACATGAGGAGACTTCACATGCGCAGGGCGGTTTTTATGGTGGTGGCTCCTGGTGAGTAGAAGGATGAGAGATTTTGTTGTTTAAACGTTCCTTTGACTACTCTTGATTTTCTGTTTTTATTTTAATGAAAACTGATTTCATTATTAGAAAACATAAATAAAATCTTATGTTGACGTAAGAGCCATCTGCCTATTGAAGTCAGCATGACCAGAGATGGGCAGCGCATCTGCTCGAGTGTGTACCTCTCAGCGCTGCAGCAGTGACGAGTTCAGCAGGGCATTCATGTCACACTGTCCTTTACCCTCAGGAAGTTTGCTTCAAATATCATTGACTCCAAATTTGGAAAGCCACCTCCCGAGTCTTCCAAGTCAGGAGACAGTGGATTCTCTCTTGGGTTACATATGAAACAAGATTTCTTTTTTTTTTTTAGCATGGAGGAAAGGGAGGGGTTGGGAATGATAATCTATAACAATTTAAAATTGGACATGAATATATTTAATATATATTTTAGGTAGAGAGTGACAGAATTGATGATTTTGATTTATGAGACGTGAGCCTGCCCCCTGGAGGGCTGGAGGGTGTCCCTGACTCCGGGGTGGGAGGTGGGAGGGCTGGAATGGCTGTGGTCATCTCCTGCCTCTATTCCTGCAGCCACGTGGTTCATCTGCAGGAGCTGCCTCCAGGCTGCTTTTCTAAAGATGTCTGAGAAATGGCTTTTTGGTGAACTGTCTTTGTAATACTCGTTTTGAGGATTCAAAGTATGAAACAGAGGGAGACTGCTGTTTCTTTAGCATGCCAGAAGTTTCTGTGCTTGAAGACTGACCAAGGGTAGAGCAGTTAAGGATTTTGTGGGGCAGCTCATTTCCCCGGGTCTTTGGAGGGCAGGTCTTCCTAGACTCGTGAGGACACAGTGAAAAGGAAGGACATTGGCTTTAGACAGGCTCGTACCAGGTATTGCTCTGCGTGCGTTCATGTATATAGGTATTTTCTATCTTGCTCTCCAGGAAATCCTGGAAGGGCATTTTATAAACAAGACCCATTTTTCCACCTTAGTAACAGTCTATGTCTATGAAATAACAAAGACACTAATATGTTTTTAATGGAAATTTATTTTATAACTGATTTTGTGAGATACCCACTTTATCTGCTTATACACCCCCCCCGCCCCCCGCCCTTCTTATCTCTGCTAGATAAGAGATTCAAGCAGGAGGAGATTAGAAAACATAAGTGAATAGAATAAAATCTTACGTTGACGTAAGAACCATCTGACTATTTGAAGTCAGATGTGGGGGCAGCTTAGCCCTGGACCCGAGCACAGACTGTGGAATCAAAGCTGCCCGGCTTTAAGTCGTCTCCTCTGTGACAGGGACACACTGTTGTCTTTTTTACCTGATCAGGGTGAGCAGGGAAGAGAGAAAACCCCGCAGCTCTCACTTCGTCAGGTGGCTGCAGGCCCCGGCTCTGGGAAGCCCCTGGCTGTGGGGCTGTCACCCTGGGGGCCAGGCAGTGGTGAGAGCTGACCTGCCTGTGGACATGTGACCAGGGGCGGCCACTCAGCTCTGCATTGACATCGGTATTTCCTGGGATGCGTGGAAGGTGACAGGTCTTGGCCATCTAAGGCCAATTAGCAAGCAGTGGAAGAGTATTTTGAGGTTTAGCAAGCTTGTCCTGCCTTAAGGAAAGGACTGTCTGTCTCTGTACCTTGAAGCACCATAGGAAGCTCTTATTGTTCCTGGAGGTGAGAGCAGCTCTGAGACCTCTGATAGCAGCTGCTCTTGTTTCTACTTTTTTTTAACATAACTTTATTATGTTATTTGATTTTAAAATTAATACATCTTCATTATAAAAAATTAGATAATAGAAATGTGGAAACTACTTTTAAACTTAACAACCCATTTTAGTGTGTCATCTTTAAAAAATGTTTCTTTGAATGTCTATACAACATTGTACACATATGACACACCTTGCACACCATTGCACAGGTGGATGGGGCATCGGGCGTGCATGCCTGTTGAAAGCTGTGCCGTGGAGACCTGGGCTGTGGCCCTCCCCCAAACGCCAAGGTTGTGGACTTAGGCTCAGGGCTTCCCTTTGGTGTCTGTCTATTCTAGGGGTTATCTGGTCACACCTCACAACTTCTTCATTGTCACCTGTGTTTCTCTAGGTCACAGAACATCTCGGCGGCAGACCCTCACCTCCTCACAGGTCCCTCATGCAAACTACTGCTGCTGCTGCTGAGCAGCTGTGATTTTTAACAGGATTTATGGCCCCTTTCCCTCCTACCTGTTCATCTTCCCTCCTGTTTTGGAATAAGGAAATTCCCCTTTAGACAAAGG